CGCTCTTCGAATCAACCAAAGTCGGTACGGAAGTGTTCGTCCTTAAGGGTCACGATCCCGAAGGATCACCGGTGAAATATGGTATACAACTCACGGACCATTTCGTCGTAAATCCACGCACTGGCGTTATCACGTTGGCGAAACCTCTCGATCGCGAGGTAAGTCAAATTCCCTGCTTTCCTTCTTGCTTCTCTTCCCTTGGACATTGACGTTGACAGAACGCACAGTGTGTGGGATAAATAAAAGTTATCGATTGCGAATTTGATATTGAAAATTTTTCGATACGATCTTCTTTCTTGATCGAATAATTAATCCGTTCACTATATAAATAATAATTTTATTTAACACTAGAATTATCGGATCTGTTAAAATAGTATTCAATTCATTATGCTATTTATTTTTGTTATACTATCAGATTATTAATTGAAAAATAGAAATTTCTGGTTAAAGAAATTATCTGGATCGTGAACTACACTTTGCTGCTTCATCGAGAAAAGAATGTTAACCCTTTGCACTCGAGGGACGACCCTCAGTCGTCATTTTATCAGATTATGAAGATCGATGTTATATAAAAATATGTCGAAATAAAATAATTCTATGTCGTAATTTGTATGCTATTTCTTATTTACCTTATTTACATTGCTATTTATTTATTTATTTATTTATTATTTTCGACGTTATGGCAAAAAGTTTTCAAATTACTATTTTTCAGTGACGAAAACATCGCTGAGTGCAAAGAGTTAATATAATATCAAAAAATGGAATTAATTCTACAATTAAACTTCAATTGGCGACGTACTTTCCTGCTATCATAAAACATATTTGGCAATTACTTTACTGTATTATAGTGCTTTACTAAAGGAAAATATATCTTTTATCAGTAATTGAAGTGAAATTAGATTTTTTAATTTTAGTATAAATGCATAAATTGACACGTGTCATCAGTATTATATGGAGTCAATTTGACATCCTGTCACCAGTTGAAAGTTGATAAAAAATCTCTGTATATCATTGATTATTGATATTAAAGAGGGGACAATATTCGTCAAATAACAAGGAATATATTAAAAAGGGAGACTTCTAATTGAAAATTTTTCCAAATTTTGAGTTCAATATAAAATAATGCCTACTAGAATTAATAAATAAATTCACTAGGCATAAGAACCATTTTTAACACTTTCATTACTATATATAGTTGCATACTATAAATGCTTTTATTTTTGCAAAAATAAGGTAACTAAAGTACAGTTTATTTAATATAATATTAATATAATTAATATTAATATTATTATTTAATATAATAGTTTATAATATACTATAATATATACAATTGACATACCAATCCCAAAAAAAATTGAATTGAAAAGGAGGGTTGGTAAACAATGAATTTCTACAATTGCTAAAATGTTTGGAGCTATTAACTAATTTCAACTGGAGGCATAGTGTTCGTGAAAAGCCACATTTTCATCAAGCAAATGCGTATTCGACGTTTCGTCCCATATGTTACGTTCGAGCACATAATGGCCCTGGGACCTAGAATTCACAAGGCCGCTAGGTCACGACACTATAGGTCAACCCATAAATCAGCCCCACCAAATCATCACCCTCTCCAATAGAACCCACTCCTCTGGACCAATAGTTTGCCTACAGAACAATGTCTCCAACTGTGCAGCTGCTTTCTCTACCATTTTCCACAGAAAACTGGATTTATCAAATCACCCTCACGCTATGTCGAATATTCCATAAAGATTCTATTCAATTTCTTGATAAAATCCAGATTTATAACGAATTCAATTTCAAATTTATCTCAGTAAAACTACCATCCTATTTTGTCAATTGCAAATAAATTTACATGTGCAATTATTATATGCAATATTAGCAAATCTTAATGAGACAGTGTCAGTTACTAGTGAGTTACTAAGGAGTTCCAAGTCAGTTACTAAGTTGGTTATTGAGTCGTTGGTCAGAGTAGTTGTCAGGTCAGTGTGTGAAGAGATAGAGTTATTTTGTAAGAAAAACGAGCCAATAAAGAAAATTCCTACATATATAATAATAAATATTATTATATAATTATTAATATCTTCTGTAACATTTCGAACATTTCGCACAATAATTACTAATAATAGATCAATTAAGAAATGTTGAAATATATTCGTGTATTCAATTCATACTTCGTGCCATAGCGTATTGACAACCCTTGAAACTAATTATATGTCATATTGTAAATATGTTAGACTTTCGTGGATACGCACGGCAATAGATCTGTAATAATTAGAGGCCTGCCATATTCACAATATGATATATAATTAGTTTCAAGGGTTGCCAACATGCTGTGACTCTTTAAGGCGCAAAGTATGAATTGAATACACGAATATATTTCAACAATAATAAATTTGAAAAATTTCCTTTTAATTCTGACAATTGGCTTTTGATTCTGTAATCAATATTATCATCCAAGAAATTGTCAATAAAAACGACAAAAATTAAAGAGAATTCTAATACTCGTGAAGAGGTATATACTTGATGACCTTATAATGAAGAAGTTGAGGAAGCAACAGTAGGAAAGTCATGGGTCCATTGAAATACGTTTCTGGTCACAGTAACAAGAACCACTGTGGCACCAACTGTTCGTGTAAGCAAAATTTCCTCGATTTGGGAGGGTTCTTCTTCGACATTTTAGTCATATGTCTGCTAAAATCGTTTTCTACTGGAGACAAGAAACAGTGGTCCTAATTCCGTACTAGTGGTTACTACTATTCCAGAATATCATTTCCTAAAATCCTAAAGGTTACTAGGTTAAATTTCTTAAAGGAGCAATTTCTGTTTTTACCATTAAATGAGAATGACAAAAATAATTTCAATAATAAAAATAAATATTTTTAATAAATAATTTTAATAATTTCTATGTAGTAATCTATATCCAGTAACCTAAGTATACCCTAAAGTATAGTAATACTTTATGTATTTCTTCGATTGTATATTATTCGATTCGAATCGTTACTTATACACAGACTAATTTATTTAAATTGCATTCGTTTTATTA